CTACTACTACTACTACTACTACTACTACTACTACTACTACTACTACTTACTACTACCACTACTTCTACTTCTACTCCTACTCCTTACTACTACTCCACTCCTACCCCTACCACTCCCACTCCTTACTACTACTCCACTCCTACCCCTACCACTCCCACTCCTACGCCTACTGCTACTTCAACAACTACGACTACCACCATCCTGAGCAGCAAGAGCAGCAACGACAACCCACTCCTTCGGAAACACTTCGTGGCGTTTCCGGGAAGAGCCACAGAACTGTCGCTCGCACACCACTGCGACCCGCACAGAACAGCGAGATCCATCTCGCAAGACGAAGCGGCCGTTTTTGCCACGCCTGAGACCGTGTCGGTTTGTGCGATGGTAAGGCAGCCCCATCCAAGCCCAATAGATCATTTATGAACCCACGTGTCTCATCAAAGGGTGATTCATCACTTATCACCTTTTCCTGCATATGTTCTTTCATTCTGCTTCACTCCCCTTGATGCTTTAACATTCAGATTTCCTGCTGTTCCATGCCAATCTGAAAGATTCACAGAGTTTCTCTTATTCATCAAACTCTTGGATACTTGGTCATTCCATGCAACTGCTCCATGATGCCTCCCCAAATCTCAAGCTATATCATCTTTGCGGCATTTGCGGCACCAGGAGTGCTCTTCAGGGATTCCAAGACTGAAATCATTGGAATCCTGATTAGCCTCTTATATGAAGATAAAAATAAAAAGCCATGACTCGAAGCAGTTGAAAACAAAAACGGCAATCTCAAGAAGCAGTTCCAAAAACCAGCAAAAATCGAAAACAGACCATATAGAAGAAGCAAAATTCGGAAACACAAAACATTGGCAAATTCAATCCGCCGAACCCGGTCTAGGCCGATGAACGTGAGCGTGAGCGGAGCGGGGCCGGCGTGTTCCTGTTGAGGCACTCTGGTGAGCGGTGGGCGATGTGACGCTGCCGTGACATTCACAAAAATCTGCCTTGCTGCGTGGTATTGGGCGCGCCGCATGCACGGTAGAAACCCCAAAGGGACCGCGCGCGCGCCACCGGGGTCCATGTCTTTTCTTCCTGGCCATCCGTGGCTCGTGTTCGGATAGTCGCCGCTGGAGCCGAAGAAAAGAAGCCGCAAGACGTGGCTAGTGGGGCATGTTCGGCCTTAAAGTGGCATTGCAAGTCGGAGAGCTTCTCCGGCGTGGGCCGCGTGAGTGTGGCTTCAACTTTGACCTGCTAAGGCTAAAGAGTGCATGGCGGGAAGGGGAAACATTGACTCAAAGTGGGTTGTTGAAGAATCTCCTGCGTAAACACGCATCAGGCATAATGGACATGCATGAGATGGAAGCACCACAAAAGGAGACATGGTTGCAAATGGATTCTAGTGCAAGATATTCCAGCATCCATCGGTTCATGGCTCATGACTGTCTCTACCAAGCCAGGGGGGAAGTCTCATCTTCCACATATTCCACCACTTCTAGACCGCTCCACTGTGGGCCTCCGACCCCTCTCGGGCCGCGGGCGATAGCCCCTAAATATCGGCAAGAATCAAACACAAAGTAGCAAACACATGTTCAAACAAAGACATTTGCATGGCTCCAAAATTGGGTTCACAGAAAACTGCAGGTTGCATACGATTGCAATGGCTGTTCTGACTTTTCCGTCCCTTCCAAGCATGCAATTGTCTAGTTACTAAATCAAATAACATATGTGTTCATGTTTGATCAATGAAGGTGCATCCACAAGAAAGATTTTAACAAAAAATAAACTATATACAGAACTCAAAGGCAACATAGATATGAACATAAAGTGGAACGATATGCCCCTAGGCATGAGCGCCCCCATGAAGTCCCCTGACACAAAAGTGCCCAGCACCCCCGACGACCGCTCGCCTGGCCACACGTTCCGGGTAGGCCAAGGCCACCAGCGGGCCACAACTCTTCAACGGGAGAGCAGCCGATGGCAGGTCCTCAGGATCTCGAGCCAAGGTAGGTGGCATCTATCTGAGTGGATGAAGGAGCTTGGGAAGAACCTTGGCAAATTACAAGAAACAATAGTTTAATATCATTCGAATGACAGTTGAAATGCTGGATTCTGGAGCCTTATCCATACCTTCATAGCACAACCGTTGGCTGTCTTGGACACGCATTCCCTTGGCTGTCTTGGACACGCATTCTCAGCTGTGTTCCGTATCAAATAAGTGTCAAACTCAAACAATCTGATTGAAGAACCACGTGTTAGTAAAATCCCTCAGGCAAGAGTGAACATGCAAAAAACAGAAACATCTGTCTGCCTTGGGTTCCTAGAAACATATAATGAGATAGAACAATTGTTTTCCTCTTGCCCATGTCTTGGCACATCTGCCTAGGGCCTAGGCAAAACAAGAACGGTGGATCGAACTGATCAGAAACTGAGACTGTTTCGTCCGCGTGCGGACCAAGCGACCGTCACCAAACGCTGGGCGTTCTGCCAGACCTAATTGGTCATCGCTCGTTTCGCGGGGGTTCCGAGCGTTGAGAGAAACGGGCCACCAGGGAAACACATCAAAACATAGCAGCTTGGAAGTCAGAAACATTGACATCAAGCATTAAAGGATATCAAAGGCATTTAAAGGCTTGCTCACCGAGATTGCTTTCCTGAAAGCTGGTTACTGTGAATATTGTGAATGCGACACGGGACTTGATACAAGATTACAAACAAAGCAGTTTTTGTATCGGATTGCTAGCTCGTGCAGGATTTCATCACGGGCACCTGACCTCAATAGACTCATCTTTGCAAAGTATTGGTCACATAAATCACTTTCCCCAAAGTTCCCGTCAAAGACAACACATATGTATAACAGTTGCGCTGATTTGTTAAAACTTTCTTACCACACAATGTGCACATTCTGTGTGCAGATTCTGCGCTCGCGGTCCATGGCTCCGTGCTCGAGCACAGGGCTTGCGCGACTCGGAGATATCTTTGTAGCCTCGATTCGAAGGCGATCGCGGGGAAGCCAGAACACGCAAATCGATTGTAACGCTACGCTGCTACAGCCACAAAGAAAAGCCATATGACGCATGAATCATAATATACAAATCATTTGTGTATTTTTTTACTGGCTCTTGAGGATCAAAATGGATGAAGTGCTTCCTGAAACTTCAAATCTTATAAAACCATTAAACAAAAGAAAACATATAAAACCCCTGTCGTATTCCATAATTATGTTTCCAACTTCGTGCTATTGAAGTCGATTACAGTATATAACTCCAGGCCTTCTCTATTTGGACATCGCACATTCAGATTCTCCTGACCCGGGCAGCTGGCGTTTTGGTATCTCTTCTCCATTCAGAACAAGCAGCCTGTCGCGAAGGAGGGTCCGGTAAATCATCTGATCATTGGTTGCGTGGAAGGGCGGCTTCTCCAACAATTTTTAAACTTGGTTGATAATGGTGTCTTCTTTGGGCAACAAGTCTAGCTTCTTTGATATCTTCTTGTTGATCTGGATAAAGGTGATTCTCAGGGCCTAGAGAGGCGGACAAAAACATGATGTGAATCTCGCTTTTGCAACAAATATCAACAAATACGACCAGAGTCTACAACGGTCTCCCCGAGTCTCTTGCGACCAACTCCTTTAGCCTGGAACTTGGATGAAATCATGAAATCCCAATCGTAGCGAGCAGCTACTGGCTCCTATGCACAATACGTGAAGCAATGGCCCCAAGAATGATCCCTGCATCCATATGATATTCCCGGATCTATCACTGTGATTCCACACAAATGGTGCAAATGGCGTTTCATCCTGAAGGCTGGAAGCAACAAAGGATTGTCACACCTGGGCACAGTCGTGGTCAATCCAAAGACCCTGGTAAACATCGTTGATGATGGGTTGAGGACCACACAGACTGCAAGTAGCTTGATCCACCAGGTTATCCGTCCTACCCTGACAGTCTGACGACACCATCTTTCGGGGTGCCCGTCATCGGGTTCCAAACCTTGTAGCTACGTCTGCACAAGCGCCAACTCGACGTTGAGCATCCTGCACTGAGTGGGACTCTGGGGTGGATCTATGATCTATGTCTATATGATTATAAAAGTTGTCATCAAGTCCCGCCAACAGTTCTCAAGGTAATTGGAAATGATACCAGATTATATACACTTCTTGCAGCAACAAATGCCTTGCTGCACCCCCTTTCTATCCAAATTCAACTTGCTCAAGGACTAAAAGCGATTACCAAGTGATTTCATACCAGAAGGACTCGCCTGCAGAACATCACGCTCCTTGGACGCGATGGTTTGCACGCCCAGAACGGCCAAGAAACAACTGATACAACATGAAACAACACGGAAAAACTGTTGTGAGCCAAGCTATGCCAAGCCTGCTATCCATGCTTCCCAGCCACCATCGAATCCATCGATACGTCTAAAGAATCGATGCGTGGCGAGGTTTCATTAAGAGGCTGGCCAGGGCGCTGGTTGGAACAGGCCAATCGATGCGTTTCTTCGAGGGCAGTGAGGTTGGGAGATTGTGTGCGCCACAAATGGGTTACGATGGCAATGGGCCAATGGGATGCGAATGAGTTACTGCTAGGCACTGGGACTCTCCAGATTCTGTCTCAAGACTCCACCGAGCAGTTCGTTTTCTTTCATTTGGGTTGAAGGGAGTCGTTTTCGTCACAACGTATTGACCAATAAAAACGAACACATCAAAGCTTGCAGGTCACATGTGAAACGACCGCAATCCAACGTACATGATCTCACCGTTTCAAGGAGAGATCTTTTTCAGGGTGGCCTGGGTTTTGCCGGTGGGTATAAGGGGCATGCACAGCCAAGATGATGAATCCATAGCAAATGATTAAGATATATTAAGATACAATATATATATATATATATATTACGGTATCGCTTTTTAAATATACGATTTTTAAAACAGGTGAAGAGGTATTTTAGACTACCTCCGGCAAGGTTTTTGCCAGCCCGGCCCGACCCTTTAAACATACGAAATGAATATACGGTACGATTTAAATATACGGTCAGCTTACATATGTGCGGCATTTATTTGGTACTGAGCTCAAACGCGCTATCCATTATGTGGAGGCCCTATCTCGTTTCGACTACTTAAGTAGAAGGTCATGTCATGTCACAGTATCTCGCTCAGACTACTTTAGTCTTGGTAGTCCCGGTGGTCTTGGTGGTGATTGTGGCGGCCTAGGCGGTGTTGGTGGTGCTCTTGGTGGTCCCGGTGGCCTTGGTGGTCCGGTCTTGGTGTCTCGGTGGTCTTGGTGGTCTTAGTGGTGATTGTGGCGGTCTAGGCGGTGTTGGTGGTGCTCGGTGGCCTTGGTGGTCTTGGTAGTCTTGGTGTCTTGGTGGTCGGTGGTCTTGGTGGTCTTGGTGGTGATTGTGGCAGTCTACTCTTGGTGGTCTTGGGGGTGCTGTGGTGCGGTCTTGGTGGTCTCCGTGGTCTTGGTGGTG